GAATATGTCCGATAATGGGCGCATAACAGTTAGCGCACGTGTGTTACCCGCGGCCAGGGACCGTCCAGTTCTCACCAGCCATCACCATAGGCTAGCAAATATTAGCAATTTTCATACTGTTCCAAAATATACCGAAGTGATACAACACACGTCTTCTATGGATGCTAGAAATACGCGGACGTTACCAAAAACACGACGCTACTCGCCTAAGTTTCTAGGAAGTAGACTGAACCTAACAAAGCATAGGCATGCCTAAGTTAAACTAGTTCCTCAACGCAAACAATAGCGAGGTGTAGCTGTTTAGCTGTAGCTAACACACAATAAATATCAAAGAAATGGATAAGAAGTAGCTGTCGTTCACACTTACATGAATGAGTCTTTATTCCGCACAAACCTTACATCGGCTATCTAAAGGGAGGGAAAGTGATTTTTCGTTATAGCTAAAAGAACTTGGCTAAATGTGGGATATCGCTGAAGGCCGCCCTTTGCTTCTTTTTCTGCTCTGATGCAAGCGAGCGCAAACATCGAGTCCATTAGCTCTGGTGCCCCTACAGGCACTGAAAGGTTGTAGCAAGTAGGATTTAGGTGTGTGGCGATTAATAATAAGACAAAACACGTGGATATTTGTTTATTCTTATTAGCAACAACCTGTCCAAAGTGTACCCTACAGCTAGAATAGTCCCCTAATCATTGGAATCAGTGTAGCTTACAGAGATAAACTTTTATGTTTTAGACTTAAGGGTTTTTTTTGTTTTGTTTTGTTTTTATCTTTTTTTGTTGTTGTTGTGATTTTTAACCAATACATTAAAATATACATATGCAGAAATTATAGCTAACTGTATAATCTGCATATAATTCTACAATATATTATATAATAAACTGATTGATTCTTTTTTCTTTCTTTTTTCCCCTTCTCTCAATCCATACATGGGGCTCACCATAATTCTAAGATTATCAGTACTTTAGACTATCTCTAATGCATATACATTGGCAAGGCACCCAGTTTCAATCTCCTTACAATCTACAAAGCACAACATTTCAGACCGCTGAGCCCGAGGCATCCACAGCTCCTCTCCATCAACTCTTGTGCAAATCTTTCTTTGACAGCGCATTTCCTCCTTGAATTTATCAGCACACAGAGCATTTAAAAATAGAAGTGTGGCTCAAAAACTAGAGGGAGGAGCCCATAAGAGACTTTCATGTGATAGAGGTAAAATAAGGTTCACTTTTTCTCGGAGCAACCTGCAAACAGCTCAAGTTGAGTGATTTGGAGACAAAGTTGGAGAGGCAAGGTTGGGGTACTCTGGACATGTGGAGAGGAGGGATGGTGGATATATTGAACAAAGGACATTGTATATGGAGCTGCCAGGCAGGAGGAAAAGAAGATAAGCACAGAGATTCATGGAAGTGGTGAAAGAAGACATGTAGATGATTGGTGTAACAGAGGAGGACATTAGGGATAGGATGGGAACAACTTCAAAGAAGAAGAAGAAGACTAAAAAGCAGTTTAAAAAATATGTTACTCCACTGTAAATGAAAAAAAGAAAAAATAACTACTAGTGGTCCACTGCTTCACATTGAGCTTCACACTTATAAACAAACCAAGCTCGAAGTTACTTTACTAACAAAGTCTGCACAACACACTAATTATTCTGTTTTTGTAAAGGAAGAGGATGTGATAATATATACAGGAAATTCAGGAAGTTTTGACCACAAGTAGTACACCAATATGTGTGTGTATATATATATACACACATAAAGTGTGTGTGATAAGGACATAAAGTGGTTTTAGTGTGTATATATATTAAGTGTTGGTTGATTTAAAAAAAAAAAAAAAAGACATAGCTGCACAGATCTTTTTGAGCAAGCACACAACCTGTTATTTGCTTCTTTTTCCCTTCCAAACTCAGTTGGAGAATTCAGGAAATTTTGACCACAGGTTGTCAGCAGGGCAGACAGCGCACATTTAAATATTTAACATTTAAGACATTTTCTTTTTTTAAATAACAGTAAAAAGCCAGTAATCCTCTGGTACCATGGAAACCTTCAAAGGTGCCTTCATCTTTCTGCAGTTTCTAAATGATGACTAAAATGTCAAATTCATTATAACAGCAGTTTAGTAATCTGTGACTCACAGTAACATCTAGTCATTCATCAAGCAAACCCAGGTTTGTCCTAACTGGGTAAACTGTAATGTCTGAACCAGGATGAAATGCTGTTCATGTATTAGTATTGCTTCCAGTTTTAGGGAGTTTTATGTTAAAAAAAAAAAAAAAAGAAAGAAAGAAAGAAAGAAAAAAGAAGAAGCAACACACTGAATGTCACCAGTGACTGGGGATTGTGCTTAGTGCTATTTGACTCATTTTACATTTGTAGTTTGCTCATGTTTAACATTAACATCTTCAGCAGTGTGCATTGAGCCTGATGGGATCCTACTGCTGGCTGGATATTTTGTGGCAATGGCTACGTTGAGATAAGGCTGATCGGATAAACAAGAACTGAAGGATGTGTGCCTCAGGAAGCAGTCTGCCAGGTGTAATAACTGCCAGGAGGAGGCGCTTATCTCATATTGTGCAGAAGCATCCCCGAGGAGCCGAATCACAAAAGAAGTGAAGAATACTGTATGTCTTAGCTATCCTTTTTATGATTTAGCTTCCCTGACATTGGCACATTATTGATGACGACAGAGTCAAGTGTGACAGATCTGGAAAAATACTCTCAGAAAAACATAATAAAAAAGATGAGAAGCAGTGATACAACACAGTGCCATTTTCAAATCGGGCTTGAAATTTGTCAATGAAACAGTTTCAGAAGTTAGACACTTGAAGTGCTGCTCTGTAAATCAAACTGACAATAATGATAGCTGCAATATATGCTGAGAGTTTTAAGCAGTGAAAGCCTCTTCTGTTCTCCTCACTGAATTGTTTATTTAGAAAAAGAAGAGTGACAGATGAGACACATGAGCACATCTCTTTATAATTAAGGAAGAAAAGGTATATTATTAGAGTTTAATGACCGTAATTAGCTTGTCTGGTTGCAATTGTTGTGAAGAAGTGGAGACGTATAAATAATGATGTGCTGTTTGAAAGCTTCTATACCTTAAGACGGTGATTCTCAGCCAAGGGTAATTGTAACTTAGTTGGTGCTTTTGTAGTTTCCAAGGGATAGTTGAAAAGTTGCAATTGTGTGGTGTTTAAAACAAAAAACAGATAGTGTCATAGTAAAAAGAAAGCACACCCTCTTTCAGTTCTACATTTTTACATGTCAGGATTAAATAAAAATAACTGGGTCCTTAAAATTAGGAAACTACAAAACATGACTCATTACACAAAATCATTATTTATTGAGCAAAAACTGAGCCAAAATGCAGAAGTAATGTGTGAAAAACTAAGTACACCCTTCCATAAGAATTAGGAGGCGAAATAGCAGCCAGGTGCTGCTAATCAAATGCACTTAATAACTGATCACCACCAAGTGTGAACACTGTTAAGAAAAGGCAGAGGTTTTAGCAGTTTGCAGGTCAGGTGTGTTAACAGCTAAGGGGGATTTTCTTTTCTTTTCTTTCTTTCTTTCTTTTTTGTTATGGCTGAATCGTAAAAACATTAGAAATGTACTGTAAAGCACAAGTTGATTAAAAAGAAAAATGAGTCACCAGTGGATAGGAAGATTGTGGCAGTGTAAAATTGATCTAAAAGCAATAAATAAATAGAAAACAATTAGCTGAATAACTCTAAGCAATACATATAAAATAGCCAGCTGAAAATAGAAAATGATTGGATAATGATCCTATTATACATTGGTAGATCATCTGGCAACAAAAACTTGAATTGTTCAGGAAAAATATTGAAATTATGGAATATGGCCAAAATGTCCAGGTTTAGCTTACAAATACTAACACAAATGCATAAGTATGAGTGGACTATACAATGACTCTTCAATAGTATTAAAATGACTGTTTAAGTTTAAAAAGTTTGAACTCATTTGGAACATGTAGGTTCAGTGGGTTGGGAGTGCTGGAGCTGATCTAAGACATACTTTTATTCTCCAAGAACAAATATTTCATTAGTTTTTATTTACTATTGTATGGAGACAGAACATTTAAAAAGCTGAAAATAGTGCTCTACAATGCCCGAATTACAGCTCTTCCTGTGCCAAATGAAGTATAAGACAGTTCAAAATCTTACATCGCACTCACTTCGGCGAAGTGAGTAAGATATCCTACAGATGCAAGTTACAACAGGTGTCAGAACACTTGACCCACATGTTTTGGTCATACCCAGCTTTAATAACATACTGGTCTAAGATTTTTAAAACACTGTCAGAAGCACTTAACATCACTATCCAACCCAGTGCAGTAACGGCCATATTTGTTATTACAGATAGAAGACATTTGACAAGAGGGAAAAAGAGGGAACAGGGAAAAAAGACATAAAAACATCATTGCTTTTATAACACATTACTGCTTTGGTTTGGTTTGGTTTGGTTTGTGGATGCAATTCATCCAATTAGAAAAAAAAACCCTTTCAGAGGGTCTAGGGACAATTTTTTCTTTGTCTGAGATCGAGTGCTAACATATTACGGTAGACTTAAAACCTTTCCCACCTAGCAGCCCCTGATGCTCCCTATGTTCTGAGTGGGTGGGTGGTATTGCTTTCCAAAGGCAAAGGAGGGGAATGTAATAATGATTATATGTCACTGTCAACCCCCCAAAAAAGCTGAAAATCTTTTTTTCTATGTTTAAAATTCTTATAATAACGATAATAACAATAATATGTGTCTTTCCATAAAACTTCGACTCATCTTACACCTCCAGAAAATCTAAAAACAGAACATTTTGTTTTCTCAATATTGCAGTGTTAATGCTAAAACGAAAGAAAAACACAAACATTGATCCAACTTCAATAAAGCACTAGGGGGAGCATAGATTCACAAACACTGGATTAGCCTCCAGCCAATAGTTACGCTCAGGAGATTATTCAAACAGCGTCTATAAAAAGCTCTCCCCTCCTTTCAATGTTACACTCAGAGGGTGGAAGTGAAGAGCACTTACAGATGAGATTTTTAACTACCTGTTGCATGCCATGGCAGTATTTTATCGGATACTTCTCCTGCTATCTGGTAAGGTGATTATTTACTTTAAAAGAGAGCTCCACAGGGAAGCATAGGGAAAACGACACGCTTAAGAAGTTATTTCAAGAGGTAGTCAGTGCATATTTGAGGGGAAAACTACCTGTGTTTACGCAAGAACAGTGATTCAGTGAGCACTTTTGAAATGGAGCAAATTGTGTTGATTTTGCTGTAAAATAGTATGCGCTTGTCTGTGATTTTAAGCCTTAGGTATGGTGTTCAGGGAGAGTAACAGGAAAGTCAGTCCTCTGAGTACTGTTACCTATTGCAACGGACGTCTGAACATTTCAATTCCAGCTACAGAAAGTTTCTTATATCCTAAATCCAATTTGCAGATACATTTTACAATATAAAGCCAGCAAATAGCAGCACAAACGTCTTTGCAACTCTTTAATGTATAATTTTATCAAGATTGTGTTGCATACCAAATCACTAAAGCATATATAGTACCGTAGTGGACCGGTGTAGGGACAGAGAGATAACTTCTTTCCTTCTCTTGTGTTGTTTGTGTCTCTTTGCAGTGACTGTGGCCTCTGCGGCAACACGCAGATCACAGCGGACAAAGCGAGGGTTACTTGAGTTGGCAGGAGCAATCAAATGCAGCACCGGGAGATCTGCTTTGGCTTATATGGTGTACGGATGCTACTGTGGTCTGGGCGGCCAAGGCTGGCCCAAGGACAGGGCAGACTGGTGAGGCAGCATTTATTATCACATTCCCTTAAGAACCTGACAGAAGAAAAAGCAAATTGGTGAGGATAGTATATCTGGTCACCTGATGATAGCGCACTCCAAAATGTAAACAATCAGCTGACACTATATATAACCAACCTAGGCATTACACTTCGCAAAAAATATCCTTCCAAGTACTTTGGTCAAGTTTAGCCTTTCGTCGCAGGAGGAGGAAATAATGTGTACATATTATTTTCTCCTCCTAAATGCCGTTGGTTCTTCCCAGTCTATCCACATCCTGATGTGTACGCATAGTTTCCGCTTCTGAATGAGTCGAGTGAACCACAAATGCAGTGCGACGGGATGGAAGGAGGGAATGCTGTGTAAATTCAGCAGACTCACACGGTCCAATACTTACTCCAAAAATTCCACACCCAAATCCTAATTACCGTCTCCTTCTTTTCCTTCTTAACCACAAGACATCTCACCCCCTCAAGCCAGTTAACTTCTAACTATCTGTTGTGAAAACTCATGTGGTGATCCTGCCCTGCCTTTTAAATAGTCCTGGTGTGATTTAAACCACAGCCTTGCAACCACCCACCTACTGTTTTCTTTACCCTGCCTTTCCTAGATTGAGATCGGACCGAGTTCAGTTTTCAAAATAATGGATTTATCATGTTGTTAATCTGTCTGTGTGCAGGTGCTGCCACAGACATGATTGCTGTTATGGAGATGCAGAACGTCTTGGCTGCTATACAAAATTGAGTCAGTATCGGTGGACCTGTGAGGACAAGACAGCTGAGTGTGGTATTGCGATTTCTATCATTCTTTTGTTTTTCTTTTTGCAATCCATGATTTAAAGTTAAAACAGCTGATGCTCTTATTAATTCCATGGCTTTGAATTTTAGGATGTTCTTCACTAAGTCCAATTGTACTGAGATTGAGATCAGTACCAATATAAAATCTTCCTTTGCTACCCCTCAATGTCTCCTAGATGGATTCACAAAAGGCAGACCGATAGCTTTAGTGTAATCTTACTGACAAACAGTGGCAGAAGCACACAATTTTGAAAGGAATGCCCCAGCGGAGACCATTACTGACACTGCAGCGCTGTTATTTATTCATTTTATTTTGAAATTGGTGGTCAGATGGTCATCGCCCTTGATCGCTCACTCTTATAATCAGCTTAACTGCCATGTGGGCACCTGCACCTTCATGTTTATGCCACAGAAAGGATGAGGCTGCTCATGCTTTCCCATAGTGAAACACAGAAAGCAAATAAGAAGACAGTTGATTGGAGAAAAGAAGGATTTATCCAGGATATCTTAATGGCATAAAGCACAGTATTTGCTTATCAAAAAGACCAGCTGTCAAAAAAACAAAACAAAAAAAACAAAACAAGACAAAACAAATATTTTAGAAATCTGTCAAAATCCTGTCTTATCTTAAAATTGTTTTGTTTTTTATTAGGCAAATAGGAAACTGAATTCATGTTTTTATACCTAGCACACTGGGTTTCTCCTAGAGGTCAGAAATGAATCAAGCATATTATTCATTCACTAAATTTTTTTCTGTTTAGAAATAACTGTAATTTGGCATCTGAATCAAAAAATAATAACATGGTTTTTGTATAACAGTAAACTTGGAATTTCGTGGATAACAGCAATAATTATATTTTCACATAAAAAATCTAGTTTTGACTAAAGAACTTGCACTTACAGGCAGATTAACCATGACAGAAATACATAAAAAATGATTTTGGTGATTACCAAGAGGGTTAATTTAGGTCAGCTGTGTCATAAACCTTACTTCGAGTGTGGGTCTGCTAAATTTATTAATAAGCACTGTACATTATTAGGTTTAAACATGACCCAAATGGTATTTATAACTGGTTACTGAACTTCTCTAATTATAGACAAACTGCTAAAAATGAAACAAAAATATAGCTGGAGTTCTCCAAATGTTTGTATACGTAGCTATGAAACAGCAAACGTAAAAAGAGATTCACAATGTTAATGAGAAATTGACTGAAAATGAGTGAAAATCCTGTTCTTCATTGCAGATAATTTGAAGGACCAATGTGAAAAGCTGCTGTGCAAGTGTGACAGAGATGCTGCCAAATGTTTGAGAAAAGCACCTTTCATTCGGAAATATGCACTATGGCCAGATTTTCTATGTGGCCATGACCATCCTACATGCAATATTTACTGACACAATAAATACATCTTTATGTGTCTTATGTGCCTTTTCTTTTAATATACGCAGCGTTACAGTAAGTCAGTCACTCTGCTTTTGCAGAAATTGTTTTAATAAAAAACACACAACGTATTACAGTAAATGAACACCACCTATTTTGTTTCTCGAGTCAAATAGAGGGAACAATCAAATACTCAGACCTAACAATAGTACTTTTATTGGCTAGCATGTGTTACTGAACTGTGAAGTGGAGTGCCTGCTTCATAACAGTGAAGCTGACTCTTTGCTTTGGGTGTGTTTTTGACTGGATTTCATTTACTGGAGTTAAAAAAAAACACTCCCCACACTTGAGCTAATGGTGAGGGTTGTTTTCTTTATATTTAAAATCTGCTCTGACACGACTTCCTACACTTTTTTCCAAAGCCAGTGAGGGAAAAGTCTCAGCAGCAGCGCCAAATTTTATCTTTGTATTTATTACTGAAAAAAACAAGTTTGAAACCTCTTGCATGTTTACTTCCTTTTAAGGTTTTAAAATATCACAGTATGGTCACAGTTGCATGTGTTTTCCTATGATGTGTACAGATTACCTCATAATCCCTAAATAGCTACCAAATGATTTTGCATGTGCAACGGCCTGAGGCCTCTATATCCACTTCCTGGATTCGCGGTTAGGAGAATGACTCAGCTGCGGCAATATTTGGTCTGTGATTTGATTGTTCATCTAAGGTATATAGTGACTCAGTCTTTTTATTTCTCTCCTCCAGCTAATTTGAGATTGTTAGAATATTGCGTGCTTTATTTCTTAATTAATGTACCTACCACAAGTACACACATCTGCATACCACACAGGTTACTGATTAAAAGATTTACATATTTAATTTTAAATTTTTCTTTTCATAAGGGTTAAAGGTGATCTCAGGTGATTTTGTCTGGGTTGCCATTAGGAAACTTTGCTTGCAGAATCTTATTGTTTTTCAATGGTTTCCTTTAGTCGCTGAAATAAAGAAACTTTTTTTTTTTTTTACATCTGCAGCCCTCTTCATAACAGGAGGCTATATGTAAATACACTGACACATTTGATATTCACCTGTAGATGGAGCCACATCCACAGCTATGCAGGCATCTTTACACATCCAAACAAAGCTCTTGTTAGTGCTTCATAATGATCAGTAACATGTCACTGACTCAATAAAGTATATTAACTAAAAAGCATTAATGTTTTATGTTCTCTTGGATCCACAACTGGTGTTCTGGTTTTGGGACCAATTTTAGATAAAAGGGGTAAAACTTTATTTCCTCTCTGATGTCCAGTAAAGAGCATCTCAGCCAGTAATCAAAGTAGCCAAAGCTTTCTTCAACGTTACTTGATCTGATGTTATCTGATATTACACTTGGTCAGGGAATTCACATAGGAAACACGTTTTCTTTGAATTAGTGCAGTTCGGTTGTGTGGGCTGAAATGGGAGATGACGCCAAAGTGCTCCACCCAAAGTCCCGGACTGGAATTAAGAATCTGGGTCACAGCCCAAAAACACTTGTGTGATTGTGTCCAGGCTTGGCCATGTGTAAACTCTGAGGTTAAAGAAGTCATCTCTATCCACAGACAAAGTGACAAAGTGACTCAAAATTCCACTCTTCTTCTTTATTTTTTCCTTTTCATTTTCATCTGTAAAAATGAAAAGATAAATACTATGAAAAGCTTCGGTCGCACTGGTCTGGTTGCTACAGACGGTGAATGAATATGAATAAATATGTAAAAATAACACTTTTAGCCATTATAAGTTTCTGAAGAACAAACATTTTATTCCGTTTCTCTTTAAAACACATTTTAGATACACTGTAAGTTTTAGGTAGTCATTACATTTAAACTGCAGAAAATAATGTTTCCTTTAGCGCATACAAATGCAAAACCTGGTCTTAGCTGACCCTATATTAGCATCTTGCAGAGCAATGTGGTCCTCTTGAAGAAATTGTGCATCGACTCATAGCATTTAAATCCCCAAAGGAGAGCTGACAGAATCTGCTCCATGCTAATTGCATTCTTTAATCAACTGTTTGGGTCCCCAACGGAGAGCCAGACGGCACGCAGTGAAGTCTGGCTTAAAGGGCGCAAAACATAAACAACAAACAAATATGCCTTGCTAGACTGGAGGCTATCCACGTGCTATGTCAGATGATTTTGTATTCATCTAATTCAGTGATGATACTGAAGGACTTTGATTTCCATAATACAATTACCAACTGAGATTCGAATGTAAGAGCAGGTTGAATGGGTCACTTTCTCTTGCCTTCACTGTATAAAAATCTCTTTTGAAAGCAGAGTATACAGCCCACAAGGAAATCAATGTGAGCGCAGCCTAGACCTGCTGCCAGTCTGCCGCGTGCTACTGATTCCTTTGTTCTCCTCCTCCTGTTTTACTCCTGTTATACTCCGTTTGTGGTGTTTTTCTTCTTTCTAAGGCTTAAATTGCAGAGGGCAGAAAATGAATTCAAGGGGATTCTATTACAGAGATGATACAGCTCTTCACATGGATTATTCACAAAAATAATAATGTTTATAATTAGGGAAAAGTAGAATCTGTAGAAATCTTAACAGTCCCTTTGTAATAACAACCTGCTACTTAAATACCATGTGTCATTATATAAGCAACAAGTAGCTGAATTTATTCAAGTTTCAGCTTGGGGTGGCACTTTTTATATTTGGAAATACAGCCCTGACTCAGCCCTTTTAAACTAATGAATGACTCTGTGATTCTGTGTGAAGACGCATTTTCAAAGTATTTTCCTCCATGTTTCTCCACACAGCCTCCACCTGTGACGGAAAACTCTAGAAGGAAAAGTGATAAACATCTGTCATTAGGCAGTCCAGAGGCTATCTGAGCTTACTAAGTGTCTTGGTTGTAGTATCTTACTTACTATATTAGGATTTTAAAAGCTGTTGTGAAAGCCAAAGCTATTTTGAAGGTGTCTGATAATTGCTTTTCTGATCTCATAGGCACTAAGGTGAGACTGTGTCATTATGCGTACATGCTGGTATATGTCATCTTGAATCTTGAATTAAAAGCATTAAGCATGAGGTTGAAGGCAACAAATCTTAGGATGGAAAAAAGGCCCACAGCATTATATACTTGGATGGATTTAAGTAAAAACTCATCTTAGAATATTTGTTGTAAACACGTTCCTGAAAACTTCTGCTCATAGAGTCAAAGACATTTCCACTTCACAATCATGACAAGAAAACCCTCTAGAACCAGTGAATTTGCCATGTGATATTTTTTAGTGACCAAGGTGCTGATTTAGGACCAAGGAAGTGTAGCACTGAGTCTCAGTGATTGTAGCCAGAGTCTGAAAATCAGCCGCCAGCGGTGTGTTGTCGACATCACTGATTAAAGCTTTTGCAAAGCACTGCAGCATTTTCCAGTTGTTTTCCTTCTATCACCTCTCATTTCACAAAGGGTCACTTCAGCACACAGAACGTGATTGCAATGCAACATGAACCAGATATGAATCATTGATGCTGCAACACGAAGCGTTACCCAGGAAACTGCACTAGTCTACCATCAGTGGTATGTTTGCAGAGCATAAAAAATAAAAAACAAATATATATTTTTGAGCTAATGAAATGTTTTTGGGGAATAAAATGTACACTCGTGATGTCATAAATATATAATAGCAATGAAGTTCAATAAGAAAATGTGGATCTCTGCTAGAGCTGTTTAAACACATGGGTAAATATGCAAATCTACTACTGATTTTTCCATTTCCATGTAATCTTCATCCATGGCTCTTTGCAGTTATGCCTTGCATTGAAATGAGTTCTCATGATACTGATTACGCCAGTAATTTGATCTTATCCCAAAATTCAAATTAGAAGGTGTGATGTCTCTATACACATAGAGACATCACACCTTGTCCAGTTACTTTTGAGCCTTTATACATTTTTGAAGGCTCAAAAGTAACTGGACAAGCTAATATAATCTTAAATATAAAGGGCTATATATAAGTACTCAATGACTGTCTGAAATGTAGAATCCATAGACTTGACTAAATGCTGCATTTACTTCCTTGAGATGCTCTGCTAGGCCTTTACTCCAGCCTCCTGCAGTTGCTGCTTGTTTGTTGCTCTCTCTGCCTTTGTCTTTGGTTTTGTCTTCAGTACATGAGAACAATGTGATATTGAGTTCAGACCAAGTGACTGGCTTGACTATTGAAGAACATCCTGTTTCTCTGTCCTTAGAAACTCTTGGGTTGCTTACGCGATATGTAAGTATAGTCTTTTTTAATTAAGAATTTGATTGCACGACCTGTTCCCATGAACAGATGCCAAGTACCTTTTATCTGCTTGTAATGGAATTACCAGGTCTCATTTGTCAGTCAAATATCAAAACCTTTTTGAAAAATATGTATTTAAATTCTTAAACATTCAATACAATAATTTTATCATTGCATTATTTGAAATAGATGAAAATATGCACACCTCGATTGTTTCATTTAAAATTTGCTGTGGTGATGTAAACAACATGTCCAGATATTTATGGACCTTTTATCTATATAGGAAAGAGGGTGGATTCTGAATACATTTTGTAACAAATTGAATTTAATTCTGTCTCAGAGCTGATCACAGTGCTATGTGATCAACATGTGTTTCATTGAGAATTATTGACCAGATATGGGGTACAGAATTTCAAATTTCATAATGTTGAACTGCTATTGTAGTTTATAAATGACAAAAAAACATATTTTTTTAGTTATCAAGCTCAAGCCAAGTATTATTTGTACAGTATTTTCAATGTATGACAAGACATTAATGCAAGTATTCAACATCCTGGATTACAGTGGCTAATTTTCTAGCTATATACTGTTTGAAAAAGAATGAAAAAGGTCCCAAATGCAATTACTCTCACAAAAGTTAACGTTTAAAAGTAATTAATACTACAAAAGGCACGGACGGGGTTCGAACCCGCGATCTTCGGTTTACGAGACCGACGCCTTACCACTTGGCCACCGCGCCTGCGCTGTGTTCGTCATCAAGATATCATTTAATAGTTATAAGAATAGCTGTATTTTCATTGTGAGTGTATATTCCATGACTTATTGTGGAGAGCTGCTACTTCAGGTCTTTTTCCCACGAGACAGGCGCCATTATGCTGCTGAGATAAAACATGCAATCGGTACAAATGTATTGTCGACATTTGGCCACAAGAGGGCGCTGTTCTCTACTCCGTGAAAACAAGATCGGTTTGTAATCTTTGGCAGGCAGAGGTCTCTGCTCTCCTATGACTAGTGTTAGCAACAGAGAGCTACACAGAAGGTAGGTTTGCTGTTGTTGTTACTCTTTGTTACTTTGTTACTCTTTGTTTCTGTTGAAAGCTACTAGAATTGGTGATGTTGCTACACTCTGCAAAACTAAAACAGTACACAATGTAGAATTGAACTAATTTAAGCAATGGGGTCAAGCAAAAGTAAAGATGATGTTACCTGAAGGTTTACCCTTCTTATATATAAATAATTATCTTATTGATAAAGTTATTTTTCTTAAAAAAACAAACAAACAAACAAAAAAAAACCTGTTATCAAACAATGTATAAAGTGTAAGTGATTTAAATAATGTCTGCAAGCTCAGGAACTCAAAAACATTGTATTTCCCAGCTTGGCCTAACAGTGGTGCTACAGAAAATGTATGATCAGAACAAATCTAAATCGAATCCAATTTTGTGCAGTCCTATTGTTTTAGTCAGTATGGAATTGACAGAGATGGGCATGAATGAGAAGTAGCTACAAAAACCAGTGAGCTGCTTGCAATTCGTTGCTAAGGAATACAAGGAATACAATATGCATGAAATCAGACTGCAGCTTTCTACAGTATTTCTTTGCAAAACATCAAAGATGAATGCTTGGCCGAGCTGCTTTTTATATTTTATTTTATCAGATATGCTAGAGGCTGTTTAAAAAATGAATAAGACTCATTTCCAGTGGGAGTGTGTTAGCAGTGGAAACTGCAGATGTAGAGTACTCACCTTGAC